ATTTTGCATGGAAGTTGAGTGCGTAATCTCGTATTACACTGTCAAAGAAATAGCGTAAAAACGCATAGAAATCATTCGGTCCCCAGGATAATTTTACCATGGCTATAACCAGCATAAAATTCTACGCCTTATATGTTAAAATAAAAAATTCCTATAGAATAGGTAACGTATGAAGGAGACTTCAACATAGACAGCCATTTTGCATGGAAGTTGAGTGCGTAATCTCGTATTATACTGTCAAAGAAATAGCGCAAAAACGCATAGAAATCATTCGGACCCAGGATAATTTTAGTATTGTTATAACCAGCATAAAATTCTACTCCATATACGGTAAAATAAAGAATTCCTATAGAATAGGTAACGTATGAAGGAGACCTCAACATAGACAGCCATTTTGCATGGAAGTTAAGTGCGTAATCTCGTATTACACTTTCAAAGAAATAGCGTAAAAACGCATAGAAATCATTCGGTCCCCAGGATAATTTTAGTATTGTTATAACCAGCATAAAATTCTACGCCGTATATGTTAAAATAAAAAATTCCTATAGAATAGGTAACGTATGGAGGAGACCTCAACATAGACAGCCATTTTGCATGGAAGTTGAGTGCGTAATCTCGTATTACACTGTCAAAGAAATAGCGTAAAAACGCATAGAAATCATTCGGTCCCCAGGATAATTTTACCATGGCTATAACCAGCATAAAATTCTACGCCTTATATGTTAAAATAAAAAATTCCTATAGAATAGGTAACGTATGAAGGAGACTTCAACATAGACAGCCATTTTGCATGGAAGTTGAGTGCGTAATCTCGTATTATACTGTCAAAGAAATAGCGCAAAAACGCATAGAAATCATTCGGACCCAGGATAATTTTAGTATTGTTATAACCAGCATAAAATTCTACTCCATATACGGTAAAATAAAGAATTCCTATAGAATAGGTAACGTATGAAGGAGACCTCAACATAGACAGCCATTTTGCATGGAAGTTAAGTGCGTAATCTCGTATTACACTTTCAAAGAAATAGCGTAAAAACGCATAGAAATCATTCGGTCCCCAGGATAATTTTAGTATTGTTATAACCAGCATAAAATTCTACGCCGTATATGTTAAAATAAAAAATTCCTATAGAATAGGTAACGTATGGAGGAGACCTCAACATAGACAGCCATTTTGCATGGAAGTTGAGTGCGTAATCTCGTATTACACTGTCAAAGAAATAGTGCAAAAACACATCTAAATCATTTGGTCCCCAGGACATTTTTAGTATGAGACCTCAACATAGACAACCTATTTTAAGGTGTATGATAATCTATATAAAATATTAAACAACACCATTTTGAACGGCGGGGGGTGATGAATGTCGTGATGGCAATATGCCAGAATTTAAAAAATATTGAACATTTGTGTTTTGACCATTGTCATAGTGGAAACTGCATGTGTAATATATTAACTGCAAGTGTATTTACATTATCTTAATTGAACTTGCAAATGTAGATGTTTGAATTAATTGATGATTTGGTTTAAATGATGCGACTGAAAGATCATGTATTTGACTTTAATATGGACTATGGTTTATATGGCATTGGGTTTTTGAAAAAAATTTTGCTACCTAAATTGTGAAAATTGCTCGAGACCTTCGGTAGTATTAATGTTGCTGCAAAGATTAAAATGTAAATGATTTTCCCCATGCTAATGCCAATTTTTAAGTTGAGCTCTTTTAAATGATGGGAAATAGCGAGCTCACCACATGTGGTCGTTATCTGTTTAGTTAATCTCTTTTAATCTGGTGAAAAATGTCGGTGCGAATGTTGTGATGAATGTCGTGATGAATGTGGTGACCAATGTCGTGACAGCTTCACTGGAGTATAGTATAATACTCGCGTATTTGATGATGCAGAACGGCTATACATAGTATTGTCCCGGCCAATAATATAATAATAGCGTCTGGTTTTTCCGCACAAAACTGTATCTAACGTCTTTTCTCTTATATATATTTTTCAAGATATTGATTCAACAGTGATCTAAACAGAAAATGGCGTCATACGACACTGGCTATGAAGATGAACGATTTCAACATCCCGTTGGCCATACGTTGCATTGTGGTATATGTCTGAATGTTTTAAAAGATCCAGTCACGTGTCGACATAATGAGCATCTGTCTTGTCGAGCTTGTATCACCATACATCTCATGAACTTTCAAACATGTCCATCGTGTATGGAACCACTCACTGTCGAATCACTGCGTCAAGCACCTCGGAGCATAACAAACTTACTTTCCGAATTAAAGATCCGCTGTCAATTCTTCGATCGTGGTTGCGGACAGTTTGTTGAATTAGGAAATCTCGAAAGGCATGTCACTGACTGTGGGTTTGCCCCAGCAGTCTGCTCCAACGAAGGATGCCAACTTGAGGTGAATAAACATGATTTACTTCACCATGAAACAGCTGTGTGTGAACTACACAGAGTCAACTGCCACAGTTGCAACGAAATCAAACAAGAGATGGATACAGTGAAAGTTAATCTGGCAGCAATAAATGAAAAGTTGAAAGGAGTTGGGGAAAAGATGGACCGAAATCAGGAAAACGTGAAAAGCTGTGTGGAGAAAGCCAACGCAAAGGTTGGAAACGTCGTCGCTGAGGTTGGAAACGTCGTTGCGAATGTGGTCGCAA